TTTTGGCAAATGGCCTGACAAAACTCGAACGCCTTTACATTCGTCGTAGTAGAATTGATGACATTATGCCATTCATTCGTCGATCACTGAAATTGAACAAAATCAAATTCATACCACTGGATAAAGGTGTAGTTTTGAATTTGGCAATGATGAATGAAGAACGTGCTAAGTTAGCTGGAGCACGAAAAATAACAATTTATACGCGTGACGATGTCTTCTTGGCTACTAAATGGACGACCACAAACGGTGACACCAATTTGAACTTCATCGAAATGAGACGATGGAATTCGATGATATGGGAAATTTGGGATTAAATACAAATTGTAAGAATAGATCAGATCAATATTCCACTTGAATTTAAAATATTTTCACAAACATATGTACTATTACTGGTAAAAGCGAATTAATAAGTACAAATAGCGATTGTCGATTGGCAATATTAATATTTTGTATGTATGTGAACGAACGCGTCACTGAAAATTTATATCAGAACATTTTCAGATTTATATCAGACGCAATACTGCGTCACAGTTAGAACTTTGAAAGAAGTGTTTTATACTTATACTAATATATGTTATGAAATAAACTCCATTGAATATATTAGAAATAAAGAATATATGATTTCATTGAAAAATGTATGGCGTAGTTTTCATTTTTACCGACAATTATTCAAACAGAATGTGCCATCAGATGAAACTAAAAGTTTGAAACGAGTGGAAACGATGAACGTAGACAAAATAGGGGAAAACGATGCAAAACGTCAGATTTAAGTGAAAGAAATGTCAAATCCATATATCTATTCGATTGTCACTGTCTCTGATGATTACTTCTTCGTATAAATAACAAAATATTGTTTTTGAGTTTTTATGACAGGTTAATACAATTTGTGCTCATTCTTTCTTTTTAATCATCCATTAAAAGTTTAAATCCTCTAAGAAATCAAATTGAGGTCGATGTTTCCGTGAAAAGTGTTTGATACTAATTGTTATTTGCTTGTTCTATTCTTATGCAGTTCCGCTATGAGTCATTCACAAAAAAAGCTGAATTTATCTCATCCAGATAACCAAAATCATAATGGAGATGCGGTTGCGGGTCCATCAAACGATGAATCTCCGCCGGATATATTTAAATTGAACATCGATTGTTTCGAAGAAATATTTGAATATTTGAACGTGAAAGATTTGCATTCATTCGGACAAACATGCAAGCGAATGAACAAAGTGGCCGGCGAATATTTCAAACAAAATTATTCGTCATTTTTACAACGATGTGAAAAAGATGGAATTTACATGAGTTATTCGGACAAAGATGGTGTTTTAAATGAACGCATTCAAACATCTGGTTTCAATAAGTTCATGCCGTGCATTAAAGTGTGTGGTAATGATTACCGTAAACTTCGCTATATTCAATCTCATGCCATTAAATTTGAGTCAACTAAACTTATTTTTCATTTGGGATTCGATAATAATAACGAACACGTTAAGCATTTTGAACAATTGTTGCCCCAACTGGAAATTTTACAGTACATATGTTGTAGGGTTGATGGTAACTTGTACGATTTGATGTTGAAATATTGTAAGAATTTGAGAGAGATTTATTTTCAAACTTCGATTAACGGTAACCGTATAAATAGTAAACTCAACTGGCTCTTACAAGAATATCCCAAGCTTGAATGTTTAGAATTGATACCTATTGATCCGAAAAATTCTTGTCGAGTTGAAGAACTACGTGAATTTTTCGTACGTAATCCAAATGTACAGAGACTTTCAACTACTGAAAGATTTTTGTGCGACAATGGTGACATATTTTTAAATTCCAATGCAAAATTGGATATATTGGTAATCAAAAGAATTTACTTTTCTAAAAAAACTCCTTTGGAATTATTAAATCGACTTCATGAACAAGGATTTCATAAGCGAATATACATTTAATATATTGCGAGTTGAAAGCATTCCTATACATCGGCCAGTATAACCATGCGCAAATTAGGTCAGAATGCACTCAATCAGCATGGATGCTGTTCATGAAATCAAAACTGACCGAATTCAGTCGTTTAAATATACTTATAAGTGACTTTTAGTGCGGATATACCATGATCCATATTCATATTTTGGCCCCACGTTCATTGTTCACAATTTGCTATGCAAATGACAGTGTTCCAGCTATACGATGCGTTCAAATGGGTGTATAGTATACACTGTATACCAAGGTGTAATCACATTAATTTAGCTCTGAAACTATTCTAGCTTCAAATAAGATTTTTTTTTAATTTTTTTTTTTATTTTTTTTTTTTTTTATTTCCTTTAACTCCTAGTGGAGCATAGGGCCTTGAGATAAGAATTCTTTAACTTTCTGGTTTCTGTTGATCAATTAATTCAGATAAATCGGTGATCAGCCGATTGTATCCTATATTTATTATGATTTTGCCATATTCTATATGGCGTTGGATTTCTATTTTACGTGTCTGTGCTGAAATCCATACCTTTGTTGTACACAGACACGGTTGACACAGTATTTTACGACTACATACGATGTTCTAAACGGTCACCCATTTATCTCCTGACCAAAGCTTGTGCAGCTTAACTCAGTTGATCGAATAGTGCCGCAGTAGTCGTAGTAGCCACTGTGCCCACAAATAAGATTATTTTGTGAAAATTTTGCCTGAAAATGTATTTTATTTTCATCCAAATCACTTGAAACTTCTCCAGTCGTAAGTTTATGGTAGAAAATGATGACCTCAGTTCATTTTGAGTCGATGTGGTTGTTTGAAGTTGTGTTTAAATTAATCAAAAGTGCTATTTTTCAAGAAATTCACATAATGATCGATCGATGCATTGATGTCGATTGGTGCTCGACTTAACGTGGAGATATCATCGTGAAACTTTGCACACGTGATCTACACAACAAGTAGAAAAGATGTAGGTGGTGAATCAAGTTGAATTTCATAAAAGTCATTCCAATGAGCAATCCGCAAAAGAGGCCAAAATTGTCACACTCACATAACCAGAGCCATAATGAAGATGCGATTGCGGTCCATCAAACGAGGAATCTCCGCCGAAAATATTCAAATTGAACATCGATTGCTTTGACGAGATATTAAATATATACATCTATTTAATGAAACATTTTTCCAGCAATTATCTGGTTATATTATATGTTATTATACGAAATCTGCTATCATCCACAAGTTGTGTCAAATTCAACACTAAAGTGTACTATACTTCAAATTAAATTTTGAAGGAGAAAAAGACTTGTATGTTCGGTTTTCCCTTTACTTGAAATTTTACTCAGATTATGATTGAATAAATTTTTCTGTACCTTTTCACTTTTAGAATTGAAAAATTATCGTGAAATATGAAAATTGTAAGACAAATACAATCTTCTTTGGCTTTTTTTCAAAAGCGAATCTGAAATTTTTTTAAATTTGAATGAAACATTGATCTTCTTTTCAAAAAAAATTATATTTCATAATAATGATTCCATTCAAATGAATCCGCTCGTCTCATTTCGATGAAGTTCAAGTTGGTGTCACCGTTTTTGGTCGTCCATTTAGTAGCCAAGAAGACATCATCTCGCGTATAAATTATTATTTTTCGTGCTCCGGCCAACTTGGCACGTTCCTCATTCAACATTGCCAGATTCAAAACCACACCGCTGTCTTCAGGTATGAATTTGATTTTGTTCAATTTCGGTGATCGACGAATGAAAGGCATAATTTCATCGATGCTGGCCCATTTAATGTAAAGACGTTCGAGTTTTGTCAGGCCATTTGCTATAATATCCATATCCTTGGAATTCGATCCATCAAAAATAATTAATTCTCTCAGATTGGTCAATTGAGTTAAATTATAACTCTTCTCGAATGAGCTAATGCACAATAGCTCAAGACCGTTGAGTGAAGCAAATGAAGTGCTCTCCTCTTCGTCAACCCAATGGATGCAAATGTATAGTCGTTTATAGAAGCCTTGTTCATGGAGTCGATTTAATAATTCTAAAGGAGTTTCCAACGTATGCTTCCCACATGAGTAATATGGTGTATAAAATTGAAATTCTTTGAGTTCCAATATATCCAACTTTGCTTTAGAATTTAAAAACGTGTCAGCGTTGCGCCACAAAAATGCTGAGGTAGTTGAAAATCTCTGTGCATTTGGATTGTGCACGAAAAATTCACGTAGCTCTTCAATTCGACAAGATACAGCAGGTATCAGTTCTAAACGTTCAAGCTTAGGATATTTTTGTAACAACCACTTAATTTCGCCATTTATGCGATTACCGACAGTCGAATTTTGAACATAAATCCTTCTCAAATTCTTACAATATTTCAGTATCAAATCGTAAAAGTCACCATCCATCGCACAATGTCGGCTTTGAAGAATTTCCAGTTGAGGCAACAATTTTTTAAAACGCTCAACTGTTTCGTTATTAATACATAGATCCGAAAGAAAAATGTGGTTAGTTGATTCAAATTCACTGATGTGCGAATTAATATATTTATATGGATCGACGTCAATTGAAATGCACGGCATGAACTTATGGAAACCAGATGTTTGAATGCGTTCATCTATAACACCGTCTTTGTCCGAATAAACTGTGTGAATTCCATCTTCTTCGCAGAATTTCTCAGCCGATGAATAATTTTGTTTGAAATATTCACCGGCCACTTTGTTCATTCGCTTGCATGTTTGACCGAATGAATGCAAATCTTTCACGTTCAAATATTCGAATATCTCGTCAAAGCAATCGATGTTCAATTTGAATATTTTCGGCGGAGATTCGTCGTTTGATGGACCTGCCACCGGCTCTTCATTATGACTTTGGTTATGTGACTGTGACAATTTTGGCTTCTTTTGTGGATAACTCATGGCGAAACTGCATAAGAACAATGAAATGGTAATTAGTATTTTGTGAAACCAACACTTTACGATAATTTACACAAAAACATCGACACGATTTTTTTAATGAGAATTTAAACTTTTATTGGATGCTTAAAAAGATAAAATGAACGCAAATTGTATTAACCTTTTATAATATCACAAAAATAATATTTTGTTATTTATAAGAAGAAGCGATTAACAGAGACAATGACAATCGAACAGATGTGGTTTTGACGCTTGTTCACTTCAGTCTGACGTTTTCCATCGTTATCTCTTGTTATCCATTCATCGTTTCCACTCGTTTCAAAAATGTTCCGTTGAAAGTATGAAACTGATGGCACAAACAATCAAACAGACATGAAATCCATACCTGTATGATATCGTCATGAGCTGAAACTTTGCACAGCTCATTTTTATCACACAAAAATAACATTCCGAGGGTTTGAAGACATTTCAATGGATGATAGCGGTATTTCCCGAACAAAATTTTGGATTTTTTGCTCAAAAACGAAAGTTTTGTATGGAAGGTACCAGTCAATTGTATTGAAATCTCTTCAAACTTTCAGAATATTAGCCTTTTGTGAAAAAAATAACATCTGCACATTTTCACATGACATTGAAAAGTCTATCAAAAATTATTCGTATCGCAAAACTCATATCAGATTCAGTTTTCTCATGAATTCATATTTACGGTAAAATATACGTTATAAATGCATGTTGTGGATCACAGTGCGGAAAAGTTCATCTTACGGATGTAAGACATTTTATTTCTTCCAAAAGTGATATTTAATGTATTCCTAAACACTCAAATAAAATGTCTTACAACCGTAAGATGAACTTTTCCGCACTGTGATCCACAACGTAGCCCAACGAGTCACAATGGTGTCTTGAATTTGTCTTTGACATCCTTTCATTTTGAACAAAATTCTTCTGCAAATATACTATTATTAAATACTATTTTGATTAAATTGTAGATGGGAAGTTTCATTCATACGGGTCCGAACGTCTCATTTCGATGAATCTTAAATTGGTGTCGCCGTTTTTGGTTGCCCATTTGGTAGCCAGGAAGATATCGTCACCCGTATAAATTGTTATTTTTCGTGCTCCATCCAACTTGGCACGTTCTTGATTCAAAATTCTTAAATTCAAAATTCCGTCATTGAAGATTGGTTCACCCCATGGAGGAATTACCATGATTCTATTGAATTTTGTCGGTTTATCAATTAAAGGTTTCACTTTGATTATCTTCAATTTTGGTGATCGACGAACGAAAGGCATCATATCATCGATATTTTTACAATTATCAAATTGAAGACGTTCAAGATTCACCAGACTCTTTGCCAAAATCTTCATATCTGCAGCATTTGAACCATCCACAATACGTAGCCCCTTCAGGTTGATCATCTGCGGCAAACTATAACAGTTCTTAAAATAGTTAATACACAATAATTCGAGATATTTAAGCGAAATTAATAAACTGCTGAATTCCTCGTTCACTTCATCGACGTAAATATGCAGTCGCTTATAAAATCCTCGTTCATAAAGTCGATTTAATAAGTCGAATATCTCACTGGAATATTTGCTTTCCCACTCATTCAAAGACTCTCTTCTGACTTCAAATAGATCTAATTTTACATTGGATTTCAAAAATACGTCACGATTGGCCCACAAACACTTTCCCGTCGTTAAAAATCGCTTGGCATTTGGATTACGGCCGAAAAATTCACTCAGCCCAATTTTACCGCCGAGAAAATCACAATCGTTGATGATATCATAATGTGAAATGAATGGCATGAACTGATTGAAGCCCGATATTTGAATCCATCGATGTTCAAGCTCGGTACTATGGTCATCATTTGGCCTTGAATAAATTCGAATGTATATTTTATCGTCGATGCAGTATTTTTCAGGCATTGAGTGATTTTGATTCAAATATTCGCCGGCCACTTTGTTCATTCGCTTGCATGTTTGACCAAATGAATGCACGTCTTTCAGCGATAAATATTCAAATATTTCTTTAAAGCAATGATTGTTCAATTGAAATATTTTTGGGGATGACTGCTTATTGCCCATCGCAAGTGACGAAGACAAACTCTTATAATAAGAGTTATAATAAACGAAATTAATATACTTTGGGGTAGTATCGATTAATTTTAACACACACAAGATGCCATGAATTAATTTTTTATGAGTGAAAACAGCTACTTATTGTTATAATTCTGGACTTTTTTTGATAACAATACTATTTTGATAACACAAAGTGAATGACAGGCGAAAGCTTATTTGAAGTCTGTTCTTACCCCAATTGACAGAATCTGTCACTCGGAAAAATTTACCGTTATATGGTTTACACAATCCCTTGTGCAAAATGCTTGGGTGGTGGAAAATAGTTTTGGACAAAACACATTCTGTCAATCCATATCCTCAATTGAAGTGATTGCATTTCAACTTTTGCAGCTGATTTTGAGCATTTTATATTGAAGTCTGCTTAAGAAGTTTCAGGCAAATCCAAAAAAATTGGTGAATTAACTTCAGAAGATTGTGCTGTGAGTCACTAGAACTCTGCGAAATATATATGCGACGGAATGTCTATTGATTTATATAGCTTATGGTTATAGTATTTTGCCGCATAGGCACATTATATTAAAAAACGCAGTTCAATTAACGAGACCTAGACCAATGACGCAAATAGTTTTCAGTTGGATTTGATTCACCAAATTTCTCAGAAACATTTTGACTACTAAATTTTGTTTCGGTAATCTTTTGTGAGAAAGGACTGAACATGCTTTTCTCATTGGAGCTAAAATTCACATAAACAGAAAATATACTACTTGAAACTTTTAGAAAGTATGACCTTTTTATTTGGGACTTATTTATTCAACTAGTCTTTCAATATTACTTCTCCGCACCCCTAATGCAGGAAATGCATTTTTTACTTTTCCGCATACACCTAGTGTGTAAGGTAAAGTATTGGAATCGGTCGAAAAATTAACACCCATCAAAAATGTGTTTTCTGGGTGTTTTAGGAGCCAGGGAACACGAATCTAGCGTTTTTCCGATGTCTGAATGTATGTGCGTGGTACCCTGTACCCTGTACGCTGTACGCAAAAATTTGTTAACACGATAACTTTCAAACAAGAAAAGTAATTCAAAATCTGACTTCACAGGATGATTGGGAGTGCCGAGGAATAGAAACCATTAGATTTTGAGCGACTTTGGTTGACAGAGTAAAGTGTCATGTCTGGTGTGATGCCTATGACCATCCATAGGAAAAATTAAATTTTTCTTCCAAAAGTGATATTTAATTTAATCCTAAACACCCAAAAATATGTATTGTGGGGTTTTTGGGTACGAGAAAACCGAATATGACGTTAGTTTTGCGATACAAATAACTTTCGACACACTTTTCATACAAAAATGTCAAAAAAATTGAATTTATGTATGGAAGCCATGCCTGTATGATATCGTAATGAGCTGAAACTTTGCACAGGTTATTTTTACCACACAAAAATGCCATTGCGAGAGTTTGAAGACATTTTAACGCATATTAGGGGTACCTTCCGAACAAAATTTTGGATTTTTCGCTCAAAAACGATATTTTGTATGGAAAGTACCCCTAATATTCATTGAAATTTTCTTCAAACTTTCAGAATGTTAACTTTTTGTGAAAAAAATAACCTCTGCAAATTTTCACATGATTACGATATCATATAGGCATGGCTGCGATACAAAAATTCCCATTTTTAGTAGTTTTTGTATGAAAAGTGCTTCGAAAATTATTTGTATCGTAAAACTAATGTCAGATTCAGTTTCCTCGTGAATTCTTTGAGTAAAAGAGTTGTAATAAATGCATGTTGTGGATCACAGTGCGGAAAAGTTCATCTTACGGATGTGAGACATTTTATTTCTTCACAAATTGGCAGTAATTTTCCATCAATTTTGAGTAACTAAAAAGAATCAATTAGTATTTGGAAATTTGTTGGATTCAACTCACGATATCTATATGAAAATTGGCGAAGGAATTTAAATAAAAATTATGTTGAATAACGTTTTTCTTTACAAAAATAAAGTTTGGCGATGAGTCCATATGAATTCCGACCATGTCAATAAATTTCAAGTTGGTTTCGCTCGTGTTTGGTGGCTTGGTTGGTAGCTAAGAAGTTATCGCCTTGCTTCAACGGTGTAGTTTTGAATTTAACAATGATGAATTAGGAACGTGCTAAGTTCAAAACTGCACCGCTGAACTTTTCGCGGGGAAGCACTTTGATTTTTAATTTCAGCGATTGGTAGCCGGCATAGTATCATCGATTTCAACGGCACTCTATACATCTCTAATGATCAATTCTTTTCGATTATTCAATTGAGGTAAATTATAGCATTTTTTTTTAGCATCTAAAACATATTTAAATTAAATGCGAAAAAGTCACACGTTTATTTATATAATTTTAAAATCTGCATCAAGTATTAAAAATGTAAAGCTGTTTTAAATCCACACAATATTCCAACATTAATTCGTACAAGTTTGATTTTTAGAGACTTTTACGAATTAATATTGAGATAATAATATGTTCGGCATTTTTTAATTCTAATTTCAACAGTTTCCAGCAACAATTTTTAGATAAAGCAATTTCTTTTCCTGCCAAAATCAATTTGTTCAAAAAGTTGGGTTAGTGGACTAAATTTCATTGATATGAGAATTATGTTGATGAACATCGTAGTAAAGATGCGGTTGCTGGTCCATCAAAATTAAATGTTTTTGGCGATGATACCACATTTGATGGACCAGCAACTACATATTCATTACGATGTGTATGTGTTGGCTGAGACACGTTTTTTCTTCTTTTTTTATTGTTGACTCATAAGAAATGACGAATATAAGCTCTTCACGTAATTCAACTCAATAAGAATAAATCAACAATTTTATTGGTTCAACCACTCGCAACCACTCTACGAATATTAAATATCCAATAAAATGCACAAAAATGCAACAAAATTTATGAGTAAAACTACTTTCGATGTTACTGCGTTTGATACAGAAATAATTTAATTTATTATCAGCTGAAGGAACTAAAGTGGAATGATACACGATTACTTATTATTTGACGTCTATTTTTCTCCAAATTGACAGTATCTGTCAACCAATACATAAACTGTTATACTATGGTGTGTAAAATTGTTGACAATATTTATGAGAGTGCGAACAAGATCCGATGAGCGCGATTATGAATTTCGTGAAGCAGATGGATTCGACCCAACACGAACTGTGCTCCTGTAACCAACGGTAGACTTCTCAACGGAAACATAAAAAAGCGTCTTTTTCTCCAATTTTCATTCGGAAAGCGATATCGATTTTGCCCCAATGAATGTAAGAATGTTATTCTTCGCAATCATTTCTAAACGTAGCAGTGCTCATGTTTCTATCTACTTCAAAAAACTAGACGAAAAATTTAAAAAAGGCCATAGTCCGATAAATTTTCAATTTTTTTTTGTTTTATTATATAAATAGAAGCCAAATAGTTCCACATAATGAGGAACAATTTGCCATGGCGACATATTATCATATTTTCTAATAGATTTTGTTGTTTGTTTGCATCTTTTAATTTTAAATAACTTATCGTATTAAGTTATTAATTAAGAGCCTGACACAAAACACGTTCATGACAAACGACAATTTGTGAATGGAATTGATTTGGATTTGGTCATAGCTAGAATCAAACGGACATTTAACAAATTAACTAAGCTGGCTGAATCACTTAAAAATCGGTAATAAAATTCCAAGTAAAAAGTTTTCATCGAAATTTGAACTAAAACAAGCGCCGTTCCCTTTTTTCAGTCAAATAATCTTCGACAAGGGTACCAGATCCAAATAATTCCATGTCACATGTAATCGTATGCATTTCATTTTAAATCTATCCTCTTCTTGGTCTTCGGGGTGTGTGTGTTTACACTGCGAAAATCGTCGTTCATTCCAATTGGCGATTATAAATTATGAAAAATTCAATGAAAAATACGATTTTTTTCTCGCTACATATTTTAATATGTAAAATAGTTATTTTTTTGTTTGTTTAAATATTCATTTCTAATATTAAATTGTTCTTGTTTTTTTTTTTTCTTGTATGATTAAAAAAGAGTTGATTATAATAATTATATATTCGCTTCAGAATGAATGAGATTATTTTGACTGGATTTTCGTTCCAACGACAGTTTGCACAAGAGAAAAAAAATCCAATTTTTTTTTATCGATCGCATCGAGGATGAGAAACCGGTGATTTGATTGCGTTGCACATAATTTCTTTTAAAAGAGAGTTTTCCAAATATTAGAATATTTTGACTAGAACTTCAAAGACCCGACATGAATTGTGAGTCGATTGCCACACATGAATGCACCTTAGCACACACACAAAAAAAATATATATGAACAAATTAAAACAAATTGTACAATGTTTTCGATATAAATAGAGAAAAAAAGAGTAACACGGTTCGAATTGGAGTATGATGAGCGATTGATTGTTTCAGAATCCATACGCAAGTCATATAGCGCGGATTTTCAGCCCCACTCATTGATCGATGCCAGTTCGGTAGATTCGACGTTGAGGCTCGGGGGTGTAGTGGATTCGAGCACGTAGCTGTTGCGGCGAACCGGGAATACTGTCAGATCCTTTGCGGGGTGGTGGTAACGGAGGTGACGTTGAAACGATATACCTGAAGAGACGGATTTTGTGAGAATTTGTTTTTTGAAAATTTGAGTGATAGACATACCTTCGGGGGAGTAAAGGTGATGGCGCAACCTGATGAGTTCCATACTCCAGCAAATTTCGTCGAAGCAACAGTGGGGATTGACCTTTGTTGTACCTGAAATTATAGAAATGAATTAAAATTTCCATTCGGAACGTTGAACGGTGTCACCAAGGTGTGGCGAATTTTTTTGTCTACAACACAGACTATGTGACACAATTTCGTATTAAATTTGCCCTTACCTTGGTGGTGGATCCGGACTTCGATGCCTTCGATCCATGTTGTTCAAAATACGTGGACTATGCGCGGCCATCCGTTCTTTATCATAATGTTGATCGATATGTGACCGATGTCCAAAATGTGGACTCGATGGCATCGACGATGACGTTGGTGCGAATTGTCTCAATTTCTCAAAATGATACGGTGACGTTGGATGCAATGGATGCCCATAATGTGGTTCGCGTTCTTTTTTGCTTCCATCACCGGACGATGTGGCTAAATGGGATTTAACGTAGGAAGCAAATCGTCGTTTAACTATGCCAGCCAGCGAATTAAACCATCCTAATGGAGGCCAATTTCAATGATTTGTTTTGTTTCGGGTATTGTTTATGTTTGGTATATGCAACAAGCGACAAATTGCGTGGAAGTGTATGTATATGACAAATATAATTTTGAATATGTACATCAGGTAATTTTCCGATTTCGAACAATAAACACATGGTTGATATGTGATGTAAATGGTGTGTATGCATATTGGTAATATATATTCAAAAACAAAGTTAGACAAAACACAGTTAAACACACATACAAGAGACATACAACAGTGTTATGGAGGCGGTTATGAAAATAGAAAAAAGAAAAAAAAGAAAGAAAGACAATGCCAATAAGTGAATCTGGTCAATATGATTTTCAAAATAGTAGAGATAATTAAACAAATAATAATAAAGAACAACACATTCTACAGCAGTTTGATTTGGATTTGGCAGAAGGCAAATGCTAATACAAATTAAAACTGACTAAAATGGTAGCTAGTGTAAAGCGTTGTTATTAAGCCAATTCAATTATTGCGTGTATGCTGTCGTTGTGCTCACACTCACCTGCATCGTCTGAGGTATTTTTGGTTCCGTTACTTTTTTTCTCTTTCACCACCGGACTTGTGGTTGCATTATACACATTTTTGTACTCATTTGGATAGTGATCTTCGTATGCGACAGCCGGATATGCCGTTTTTTCATAGTATATGTCAGCCGGTGGATTGATTGGTATTCGACGGTGTACACTCTCCTTTGGTGGCACACCACCATCGTAATGGTCATAATTTTTTTGATAAATTGGAATATGGGAATTTGCATACAATGGCTCATCGCGTGCATTGAGCTTTGGACTTTGCGGTTTGAATGGATTTAATTTGTGCGTTAACTTTGGTATTTGACGTAAAAATGGATTCGACGACTGGTGTTGATGGTGCTCTTTTTCATTTAATTCATTTATTCGCTTTTCATAGTCGGACTTATACTGTGGCACCGGTTTTGGAATATGCGACGGTGGTACATTGTACACTTGTCCGTTCGCCTCTTTTTCACGCAATTGATTTTGTTGGTGGTAAAACCGTTGAAGTACTGAAAAAAGCACAATTTTTGTTCAATTAGTTTTAGATCAAGAAAATTTAGTTTAGTTGGAACAACAATTGGTGAATGGAAGGAATTTTATTACCAATTGGACTTGTGTTTCCCTTGAGTCGAACCATTTGATTTCTATCCGTGTCCAGAACTGGAATTGCAGTTTGATACCGTCGATGTGCATCCAAGTTTGGTGACGCTGTCGCACTTATTGACCGACCATACTGAGGCCTCCAACGCGGTGAATTTGCATCGTTCAAACGTTGTTGGTGCGCTTGCAATGAGTACTTCCGTTGTAAAAATGGTGATAGAGAATTGTTTCGATGTAGTAGATTGTGTGGCGCTGAAGAAAGAAAATTATTATTTATTTGCTTGAAACAGTGATTTCCATAGGTCTTTCTGGTCAGACCCCTCTAAAAAAAGCTTCCAAATGTCCAGATTACCCCCTCTCTCTACCCCCCTCTGAACAAGGATCTTTTTTTATCTCCAATTTTGCCGGGACGTCCTTTGTACACACAACAACCCCAGTGATGTATGCGAAAAAGTGAAAAAAAAAATTCGTTGTGCTCACCTGGATTATAAATAGGTTCATGTTGTTGCAAATAAGTTTGATTAATTCGATTGACTTCATCATGTTCAACAAGTCTTGGTGTTCCTGTGTCCCTTTGATTTGCATGTATCATCATCGTTGCTTTATACAATTCATTAAGTTGATCAACCATTCGTTCTTCAATTTGTTGAAAATGAATCATTTGTGGTGAAACATTTTGCCGATGATGATCGATGCGTTGCTGTTCAAGTGTGGCTATCATTGGTTCGGCATGTGTGTAACCATAATTGCTTAATCGTGTCACATTAAATTCGTCATTACGTGGAATGGTCATGGTTGATTCAATTTGTGATGGCGGTGATTTTGAAGCTACTATTGAATTTGAATTCGCTAATGTACTATATCCACCATTTCTCGTCTGTAACGGTGGACTGCGTGCAAAATTTGGCATCATTGGTAATGGGCTATCATGTTCGCTAATCGACGACGTTCGACTAAGACTTGGTGAAAATTGATGGACAATCGCCGGCGATGTCGTTTCGGTATTTGTATTCGTTTCGGTTCTGTGTTGGCTAGTCGTTTCGTTGTTACATTGAAATGGATTGCTGGATTGCTGTGATGATGGATCGGCCACTGTGAATCCATTACTTAGTTTTGAATTCGTTTGATTATGGCTAAATGGTTGATAGGTTGGTATGTGTGACGATAATGATGATGTAACTGTCGTTGGTACAATGGACGACGGCACTTGATTTACTATTCTCTTATCCATTACAAGTGATGGTTGCCTGCCCAACAAATATCCAACAAACAAAAAAAAAAATATCGATTAATATTCAACACATCTTGCATTACAAATTTTTCTACTTTTTTTCTTCTAAAATATATTAAAAAGATAACCTCTCTCAAACTACTCGAGATAAAAACAAGCAAATTTTTCGTTTGGTGTTTAATTATTGTCCCGATATCGAGTACGGGACAAGCTACGGCATAACAAAAACAAATTTTCAGATTACGATCAATGTTCTACGAGAGTTAAAAAAAAAACATCCGATGCGATTTAATTAGAATTCATGTACAAAACGATATTAAATGTTGTTATTTTGTTGCATTAAGGCGCGCAATACGAAAATTATTTTTCTTCAAGAAATTTTTTCTTGTCACTTATTTTTTTGAATCGCGTCCAATTTCGAAAATCGAATTTAGTAGAATTCCAATGAGCATATGTGTTAAAATCGTTACTCTAATTTTGTTATCTAAATGATTTGTTATGAACGATATTTTTTTGTTATAAGAATTTTTCATCTAATTACGGAAAACTGATCGACCGAAGATTAGTGTGAATTAATTCATGCCAATGCTGAGCTGAAGGAAAGTTAGAATTTCGTAGAAGATAAGAAGAAATTGTGAATTTCTAAAACTGGTGCGTTTCAGAATAATAATGATGAGGAACAAAATGAGTTTCTGTTTTTATTTTGTAGCATTTGGTGTGAGACAGAAACATGCGGCTGCAGTGTGTGAAGTGGAGAATTAATACAAAAAAAAATTGATAATAAAGGAGACGAAAAAATACTCGGCCTCGATATTGAATTGAAGATGACGTGATAATTTGAAATGTAAGCAATTCTCGTTCACTCGGATAATTGTGTACAGTGAATGCGATTTGATTGTGTTTTTTTTTTTATTCGCACTTTGATCACATGCTCTCTCTCTCTTACTCTCTTTTTTTTTTTCATTCGTTCTTTCTTTTTCTCATTTTCACACTCTCTCCCCATCTCTCTTTTTTCTCTTTTTTCATTTTTCTCTTGCATTTTTTCCCATTTGGCACAAACAAACAAGACGACGAAAGATATCATTAAAATAGATTGGAAAAACAAACAATAAACAATTTACACACACACACACACAAAACACGAAATGCATAAAAATACGGTATCAAAAACTCATAAAAAGCTCATTTTATCAAGGCATAGAAGATTGTGGGTGAAAAAGAAAATCATAAAAAGAATGTTCTACTATGAATTGCATTGGCCATTTAATAATTCCGATATCTAATTGGTCATTTGGTCGAATTTATGTAAAAGCGCGCACTCTTCATTCGCGACGACAGCTATTTTTATGCAAATATTTATCGGATATGTGATATCAACAAATCGATACTTACATAAATAGAATTGATTTTTTTGTGTTTTTTTTTTCTAAAAAATTTTTTGTTTTGGTTTGTTTTTAGGGATAAGTTACCTATTTGGGAAGAAAAAACGAAAAAAGAAAAAAAAAATACACAAAAAACAAGAAAAACCATAATGAGAGAAAATAAAATGAATACAGATATTCTTTGGCAAAACAAAACAAAAAATGAACATCGGCAACAAGGTACTATGAAACAACTTACACCAAACACCACTCGCAATGGGAACAACAACAACAAGTGTTTGTGTATTTGTACAATTGGATGCATGGGGAATGAGTTACAGTTTTTTTTTCTACAAAATGACGAATGATGGATGAACGGAGGAATTTATTGCTTGAGAAAACAAAACGCGTTGCAATTATCGCTTGAATGGCAGATATGGGAGATTTTGCATTCCAAATAGAATTGTGTATACATTGATATGGATTTCTCAGAAACGTGCAAAGATATGATAATGTAAGCCGGTCGAAATAATTGCGAAATGCGATATGAAATGAACACGATTTGTGAATTCCCAAAGGGGATTATTGCATTGATTATATCTAGACACTTGATTGAGTTCAACGATTTTTAACGACTTTGAGCACAGAAAATGAGTTTCGAATTTAATCCAAGTCGCGGAGATTAACTCAAGGGGCTGGCAATTCAAGGTATTTCACCGAGCTCACAGGAACGAAGAAACGTCACAAATAGTGCATGTTTCAAACTTTGACACCCTTCGATTCCTTCAAGATTTTAATTCGTATCTATTTTAATGAAGGTTTTTCTTCTTTAAAATAAGCTTCAAAACTTGATATCGATATTTATTTAAAATGACGGTACTTTCCAGCTCCTGAAAATCGAGTGAAATCTCTATAGTAAAATCGACCTTTTAATTAGCGATCGGGATCCAAATTGGCCCAAAAAAGTCCAAAGAAGCCGATCGGCCATTAATCACCCGAAAAGTAGCCAATCTCGATCACTTGTTAATTTCATGACTGACCTTATTTGGTGACATCAGTATTTTCTGTGATCAAATGTTCACTCTTATCAAACTCCGTATCACTTGCATAAAACAGATTGAATAATAAAAAGACTTTGAAAATAGCAAGGCCAAAATGTTCTAAAAATGAAAAATAATTCCCATTTAAAATTTATGCCATGTGCGATAAATATGTGTTTTTTCTAAGATGACGTTAAAGAAGATAAAAAAAGTGGCATGACTTAAATGAGTTATATTTGATAAGTAAAACGAACTATTCGTTACGCTACATTCTCGATGTAAAAAATTAGTAAGAAAATTTTCCCCAAAACCAATTGCTTTTTTTTTAAAAAAAAAAGACGTCATGCAATACTACGTAATATGACCACGACCGAATCTCATGCAAAAATGATATACAAAATAAAAAAAACGATACAAAAAAAACGTTCAGTGATAAAACCAAAGTATTTTTAGATCAGAAAAAAATAGTGAGTGCAATCATTCTATAAATGGATGATGATTAAACGAGAAAATACCAATCGAATGCATGCATACCTTACCTGCGTGGTTCATTCGATGGTTGTTGATTGTTTGTGTGCATGACAGAAGCAAACCAGGTGGCTACATCCACATCGGCATTTTCATACATTTTGAAAAAATCACTTTCCAACAATTCGGGGTATTTTGGCCGATTACGGAAGTCTTTCGTCAAGCTGTGAAACAGAGAGAGCGAGAGTTAATTTAGAATTTTTGCTCGAAAATAGAGGACATTGAGGTATTTTCAGACAGTTTAAATATTTTAAGACAGTGGATCATTGAAATCAGATGCCATTGGACGCTCAAGCTTAATAACCAAAGATATTTTGGCAGAAAATATTTCCAAACAATATCTGGTACCATAAGATGGAATGGAGGCACCGTTAGCACTTTTGGTGTGTGTGTTTGATGAAATGACATACCATTTTTTAACGAATTGCTGAAATTCTAAGCTAAAACCTTTATCGGCTGGCAGACATGGTGGGTCTTTTTCCAAAACGCACGTAAGTACTTCGAAATCGGTATTACAACCGGCATATGGGAATGATCCAGTTGCTAATTCAACTAACGTTATCCCGAGTGACCAAATGTCCGCTCGAATGTCATAGTCGAGCTTCTTTGGATCGATACGTTCGGGCTGCGAAAAAAAAAAACAAAATTTAATTATTATTATTGGAATCTTTTCGAATAAGTTGAAAAATGTGATTAACTCTACTTACAGCCATATATGCGGCACATCCAGCCGATCTTGTCTTCGCCTTTGAGTCCACTAATCGCCCACTTATTCCAAAATCACAGAGTTTAATGTTGCCCCGTTCATCAATTAGTATGTTTGACGGTTTCACATCTCTGTGAATAACATCGTGTTGAGTCTTTAGATAATGTAAGGCTTGTACCGTCTGAAAATTAAATAAAATTACGTCAAGCATAAAATTTGAAAATATCATATTTTTCTTCCGTTTGATTCTAATTTTTCGCAAAAAAATAGAAATAGAAAGCAGAGTCGACTGTTGTAGAGACAGTGTCAACTTTTTGCATCGTAATAATAAGAAAACACTTACCGCAACGGTAATTTTGCCCAAAATTGGTTCAGGCACCGGTTCTCTTGTTTTTTTGGTGAGTTTATCAAAACATGTGGCCATCAATTCCATACAAATCCATACGTCTGCATCGGTTATAAAACAACCTAGACAATGTACAATATATGGGCAATCATGTGACTTTAGCACCACATCAATGTCGGTTATAATTCGTTTTTCTTCTTCGGAATTGCTTGTTCGTCTCATTTGCTATATGGAACAGATAAAAAGGAAATAAATTCGAGTTAGTCTGATAAAAAAAAAAGTCGTCGTTGTTTTCACTTTTCAACAACACAAAAACAAAAATGAGTTGCAGATTGGACAAGAAGTAGAAATGAAGAAGAAAAAAAACGAGACACGGAAAGAGAGAATCAACGTGATAAATAATAAAATGAAATGAATGAAAAAAACAGATTAAAATGAAAGGAGAATGCAGTTGAAAGAAACCGGGACGGAATTTCCGAGAAAAAAATATTGATAACAAATAACAACAGTAAAGTATTGCACAATAACCAAAAATAGAGTTTAATTCAAATAAAATGTGCTAAAAATGTCTCGCACTTCTTATCTTCCTCGGCAATAAAAAAATATTTACATTGTATGCAGTACAGTTTATAAAAACAGAGACAAAATGAAAAAGAAGAACATGTGGAATATCGTACCTTAACCGCAATTGATTTGTTTGTGAGTGTGTGTTTCATTTTAACTACATGACCGCTGGTGCCGTTACCTAATTCCCCTAAATCTTCAAGATCCTTTGTTTCGGTTTTATATTCTTTACCATCAATGGCAATGATGCCATTTCGTTTCATAATTTGTTTGAGTTTCATTTCGGTTTCGGCATCGAGACGGATGGTTCTCTGTTGTGGGAATGAGTCGAAGGTCATTGGTGGTCGACGTCCTGTCGTTGGTAATGGCACTGTTACAAAAAAATATATTTAAAAAAAAACACATATAATAATTTGTTGTAAAAAAGGCACCCAAACAAATCACACAATTTATCGTCAATAAATCAATAAATAAAATTGTTTTCGTCGCCCAGAGTAATGCGAATAATAAGTGAACGTTTTGTTGGTACTTTTTGAATGTAAACAAAATCGATTGTCGTGCGAACGTTGAATTTCGCTGAGCACAGCAGTAGCTCACCAAATAAACACACAACAATGTATGTATTTTTGACGTTTCATCCACACAATATAGACACTTTTTATCACAAACGAACAAAGCCAGTGTCGCACTTACACTTACACTCACATCAACACCCATACATTCACACCCCACGCTCTCATACGAGAGCTCTCATTCTTTTTTCTTATAGGTTTTTTATGGATGGCATTGTATATGAGCACGACAGAGACGGAGATCGCGATATATATTATATATTAGAAGAGAAAAAAAAATATATTGCAGTTTGCGCATCAATGCAAACAACTGATTTTCATGCGAAATTCAAGTGACAAAAATTATGGGCATTTTTTTCACATTTACACCGAATACCGTCGGATTTCGGTAGAACACATGACACACGCTATCAAAATACACACATTTTTCCAATAACATTCTTCATTTTTTTTCTCACTCTCGTGTGCGATATAAGCACAGAAAATCGTCTAGAAAATTGCATCGAAGCTGACACTGAATGCTTTTGATTTGGTTGGGTGATTGAAAATTTCGGTGGTAATACTTACAAGGGTTGGGGCGTCGTCCATTCGATGGTTCATGAAATCGATCCTCAAGCTTTTGCAGCTTCCGTGACGTATCGTTGATTGACATTGTGTATACGAAATTTTTGTTCGTCTTTCGTTTTATCTGTTGTGTGTATGTGATTTTTCTAAGAAAAAAATCAATCGTGTGTCTTGTGGTCTACACAAGCGAGAGAGTGAGATTTTAGCCTGACTTCTCGATTTTTACACCACAGCACACCTCACTTTACACGAACAAAAAAGAAAAGAGAAAAAAAAACATTGATTTTTCCAACTACACGACGTTTTTCTTTTCGTTTATTGTGAAAATTGATAATTGGGGAAAATACCATGAATTTTCACGTGAAATATCACACGAAACCACTTGGGCGAAGGTTACACACGAGATTTATTTTGTCTCGCATCAATACTGCACGGAATTATATTTCGATTGGCCCCAAAATTAAGAAGAAGAGTACAGAAAAATAATACGCGAATACTAAACAAACACACAACAAAATATACAAACAAACCAAACGATAAATACGATTTACGGGCTTGAGTTTTATTTCAATTTGCGTTTATTGAACACAAAACACACAACAAATTAAACATTGAACGAAAAAAATTAACTTTTTTTTAATGGCAACAAAAAAAATATTTCTTCTTTTTTTTTTAATGTGTGGTGTGTTAAGAAAATGCAAATGAAATGCGACGATGTACGCACTCGCGTATTTCGAGAGTCACTGTCGAATAGTCTATTTTACACAGTGACCGTGTGTATGTTGAACGAGGCGAGAGAACGTGTATGCGCGCATATGTGATTGTGGTTGTTGGTATTGTCATAGAGAGTATCATGATTGCAATGAAGTTGGCCGTGGCGACGGTGGAGCACTGTTAAACGTTCGTTTTTACACAATACACGTGGAGACGGTTTAGATAGTTTTATTTTCTCTATTCGTCGGTATTTTTATTTTATTTTTTGAATACCTTTTCTTTTCTCTCTCCTCTCTCTCTCTCCCCCTTTACAACTTTTTTTTTTTTTCTTTTTTGGATTTCACTCCCATTTACACCTTTCTTACTTTTACACTCATTATCCGTCTATCCACAGAAACGATCGCTTTTGAACCCAATATAAGAAGCACTCATTCAAATTGAATCAAAACCGTCTCCATCCTCATGGAAATTGAACGTTCATACAATGACACTTGTATAGACGTCACTTTGGCCCATTCACTCGTGCATTGTTTACATTTTTTCAGTCTTTTCCGCTTGTATACAGCAAATTTTCTTTTTCACCATAAAATAACTTGATAAATTCCAGAAAAATAGTGACGAACCACAGGGTCTTCCGTAGAAAAAGTGATTTTTTTCGAGGAAAACTGTGATTTTTCAGCACGATGACTTCAACAGTGGCAACCGATCAAGAGGACGACCGATACGAGACGGAAGAATTTTTGGTGTATGTGGATTTGGACACAAAACTGCTGGACGATCAACTATCCAAATCAAGTACCAAAATAAAATTCCTCGGCATTGACACCGAAAATCCAATTATGCAACTGAACAACCAACTATTCAAAGGTATTTTCAATATGCTTCAATTGGTATAGACAATGGAGGGAAATTCACTCAGGATGCTTCTTTTGATTTTCAATTTTATTTTTTTGTATTTTGAATCCCACTTCAGTTTTCTCTCCATTTTTTTTTTTAATTCAGTTTTGATTTTTTTTTTAATTTTTAAATGTCATTCTATCTTTCCAGGTGAATACGAATACTCAATGGGAACGCATTGTTTTTTCTCCGAAAGCAAGCGGCCAGGTGGTATTGAAGATGCATGCTTCAAAGAAATGCCATCCAAATTGTATGATTATTTCGCTAAAACCAACAAGGTCTTAAAAATGAAGCGAATTTTCGTCGAAGAAAAAGAGTCGGAAGGTAGTGCGGAATTGGCCGAAGGTGAAATTGAAGATTTTGAACATTTACGTATTTCAAAAACATACGCCGAAGCATTGAATCAATTTTTAAAACCCGGCGAACAACCGCCACGCGATTTGTCACAAGAACAAGCCGAACAAGATGTAATGGCCGAACGTGAAGAGGATCAAACCGACGAAGAGGATGAACATCGAATGGAGGTTGAGGAAATTAGACAAGATATTGGAGCCAATGCCGAAAGTACCGATGAACGATCCGAGGATCGAACAACAGAAGACAGCGAAAATACAAAAATTTTGAAAATTGAAAAGCACGCACATGCGGAATTCGAACGATTGACTCATCTAGAAAATAGCCCGAGAAAATAACCACAAATAGACCGAAAAGGATTAGATTTATATTTTAAACTTTATTTAAAATAAGCTGTCGTAAGAAATATAAAACATTTTTTTTTTTGATTACTGTTAAAATAATAAAAATATATATAGGTTCATAAAAGTCTTATAGTAATTTACTATTTGTAAATTTGAATGATTTTTTTCCAAAAAAAAAAAAACGGAAGGTAATTGCGGAGTCTTTTTCTCATTTAAAGATATTGGTTTTAATCAAGAATGTTTTGGATATTGACAGTTTTTCAGGCATCACTGGTTATTATGTTCACCAAACACGTCGCTCCATGCCAACCATGTGTTTATTAGCCAATTTCAACGTTAATTCGAATTTCAGTTCCAAGTCGGACAGCTTTAGATTCGTAGTGAATCGATATTTTCGCAAAATACCAGATAAAACGACCTTCATTGAAATCATCGCGTACTGGTAACCTACAACGAAAACATTGCATGAGGTTCGACGAAATTTTTCCATGAAAATGTTTTTTCTCTGTACCGATACAATTTCTAGGCCCACCACTAAACGGAAGAAAACAGAATGGATGGCGTTGATGGGCCTCCTCAGGAAGCCAATGTTCTGGATTGAAAACTTCGGCGTCTTCACCCCAAATGTCCTTTCTCTAAAACAAATTTTAACATCAAATTAATTGAGATTGAAATGAGTTGAAGGTCAATTTTCATAAAATTCTTTAAAAAAATTATGAAACGTGCCGACTTTTTTGTGTGCAAAAAAACTGTACTGTCACCAAATTTAAAATAAGACTTACGCGTTGCAAGTTGAAAATCGACATCATAATAATGGCGTTCTTTGGAATGATACAAGTGCTAACTGGAGTATCAGCTGTTGCGGTGCGAACGATAAACGGAGCAACGGGAAACATTCTCATTCCTTCTTTCAACACCATATCCAAATAGGGTAACTGTTGAACATGTTCATATGAAGTATCTTCGTCTTGCGAAACATATACCGAACGCAGTTCCTCGTACAGTTTATCTTGAATATCCGGATACATAGCCAAGCATAAAATTGTGTACGCAAGTGTTAGTGCCTACAAAACCAAAAAAATTGTTCGAAATTTATTTCTTCAATAAAAAACCATTTTTCTTTCATTTGCATGCGAAATCTCACCGATGTTTCATTGCCTGCAATTAAAACCGTTTCAATTTGTTCTTTTACAACTTGTGCGCTGAATTTTCCCGAAAAAAATAAACGAAACAATTGATCGATTAAAACTTGTGGCGATTTATACGATTCTTCGGAATTTTCTGCTATCAATTTTTCACCAATTTTATCCTTATTTTTCGCAAAGTATTCATCGCGCTTCATGTCACGGATCTGCATTGGGAAATAGTAGAAATAAAAACATTTGATCAAATGGTTGGTGTATTTAAAAAGAAATAGTTCGATTTTTCGGGGTATCCTTGAAAAAACTGCGTGGCCAGGGGCTTTCTACTATTCGTGAATGACAGTTTATTCGCAAAATATTAACTTTTCCTATTCATACGTAAAATATTCGAAATAAAGTATATTCATTCGCATCAACATCTATGAAAATTCGTATATTTCATTCGAATCCATTAGCGAATGCCGCATACTGTTTGCGAGATGCAACATATTGTTGTGATTTGTACATAAACATTCCTGTTTTACTTTTCCGCACACATAGTGTAAGGTGAAAAGTATTGTAATCGGTCAAAATTTTGAAAACTTCAGAAACATGTTTTCTGGACGTTTCTGAGGTCAGCGAACTCGAATCAGGCCGTTTTGAGCATGGTTTATGTTAATCTGTACGTCGTACGTTGTACGTCGTACGTTGTACGTCGTACGTTGTAC